ACTAACCAAGGCTACCCAAAAACTGATAGATAGACATTAGATCCACGGGATATTCTGGTTAGTTTCGAGGTACAATCCCTCTTTACCAATGTCCCTATTCCTGAAACTCTCAACATTATTTCAGATATGTTAAAATCCGAGAATCTGGAACGAAACTTTCTTACCTTTTTCTTGTAATGTATAAACAAATATCGGGAACAGCTATGGGTTCTCCATTATCATAAATTTTCGCGAATATAGAAGAAGGCTCTCGACACCTCGCATCTAAAATTTCAACCATTCAAACTCTATAACCCCTACCATAAATTTTACTTTACGTTTATGAATTAATTTATTCTACCAACGAAAAATCCGAGAATTTATAGAAATTTTTAAGCAACCTAAACCCCGATTCGTAAACTGAAAGTTATTCTTTATATGCAAAGCTACTCCCCCATCACTACCATCTCTATCTACTAATACAAAGTTGTTCCCTATAATATGAACCATTTCGCTATCTATGTTTACTGTCAACCAAGTCTTTAAAAATTCCACCTCATATTCAAAAAAGCTATCGCAATCTTCTTCACGTAAATAAAAGTAACTCAAAAGCCAGAATTCACCCTATAAACAAATGAAAAAATGAAAAAAATCTGTTCAAAATGCCGATCCGACCAGTGGAACAATTTTCATTGGGTCGTCCTTTAGGCAAATTTTTCTGTCTTTAAGTTTTATATCTTCCCGCCTGCAGAGCACACATTTTCTTTGCCTAACTTTTCCCTGTTAGTTGGAGCGAGTTTTCCAATTCAGAGTAATCAATGTCCTCAAAGCCTTGGTGCTCCTTAAATGCTATATACCGCAGGAACCTATGCTGCACTCTTTCTATGGCCTGCATGTGGGCGTTAGACGAAGATGACCAGACACAGGAACAATAATCCAGGTGTGGACGCACTAGACAGCAGAACAGTAATCTGAGAGACGGAACACTCTGGAGGTCCACTGTACAACGCTTAATAAAGCCCAAAATCTGAAGTGATTTAGACACAATAGATGAAACATGTTGTAAGCCAACTTAATTTCGAGTAACACTCCAAGATCCCTTATTACGGAGGCCTACAATAACGGTGTCCCTTTTATGTTATACGTAAAATGTATGGGGTTTCTCCTCCGGTAGAAGTCCATTTGTTGGCATTTATTAATATTTAGTTCATCGCTCCATAGAGATAGGGGATCTAAATCGGACCAGAGTTTTATACAGTCATCAGCATTATGGACTCTCATATAGAATTTTAAGTCGTCAGCAAATAATAGGAAACATGCGTGAAACATGAGGCAATATCATTTAAGAGCAGACACTCTAATTTCCGTGGATTCGGAAGCTCTGGATGAGCACAATTTGCGCACTTTCAGTAAGGTACGATGTTAACCATAATAATAATAATAAGAATAAGAATAAAAATGCATTATTGGTAAATTACTGATTTGTTTGGGATAGTAATTCCAATAAGCAGAATGCTTTTCGTCCTTAGTGGAGCATCCTGAATTTCATATTGAAACACTGGACAATCTTTCAGATACGTTGGTAAATAACATTTCATGACATTAAATACAACAGCCAGAAGAAGTAGGTCGTACTTTCCCTTGGCCAGTTCCCCAGTTGTAACATTTTTTTGTTTTCCAACTTTTTTTTATTATAAAAGAGCATACTTGTCCGAGCTAAACTTCAACAACACGACTTCATTCGTAAGTTACACACAAAGTTAAGGTAATATTGCTCACACAATTACATTACGCTTCATTTTGTTAAATTCTTCAATTAAAATACGTTTGTTATTAACAATAGGATGATCGTCAGTAAGTTCAATTGACCAACAAACGACGCAGTAGGAATCCAGAAGATTTATAAATAGTTCTAGAGTAGCCTGTGGGAGTTTCTTTCGAAGATTTATTACACGTTTACTAAAATCGTATTCTTTAACTACTATGGCTTGAACACGTACCAATCTGCTTTTTAACCCAACTAACATTTAAATAATATCTCGTAAATTTCATATATATCATAGGCCAAAATTCTATTGTTTTGCTACAGAGAAACAATGTAGAGTTAACGTAAACAACCATTAAATTAACTCGATTGCGAAAACAATGTAGTAATTTCACCTAAACAATACAAAGTGGAAATAAATTAGGCTAAATATTTTTTTGTCATCTAAAATTTACGTATAGGCACCAACGTTTGAATTGTAAAACTCGATATAGTTTACGATCCTATTTTGGAAGTGTGAGTTACGAGAGGTCCTGTTTAGCGTTGGCAGATTCAAAAATTAAAAAATCGCTAATGTTTCTAAAAAAATTGTAGCAGGCTATGAACCTGATCGACGACCATCTTAATATCCGCCCTTAAAAGCAATTTCCGGCGTCGACATTTGCGGGGGATTTTAAAATCAAATTTTATTAAGTCACTTAATATATTTTTTTGTATCCTTGATAAATTTTCAAGCAATTAGTTGTTGGTATATGTTATCTCAACTAATATAGTAACATAGCGCCATTGTAACGCTAATGTTTGTCGAAAAATTCCTAAGATTTCTTCAGTTTTTTCAGACTTAAAAGTTTTCTATGTATCAGAATTAGCACCCAACACTATATATTGTGGCATTTTTCTGTTCTACATAAAAAATGAACTCACACTTATTTAAATAGTGTATAATAAAAATTACTAGCTTTGGATTTTTTTTGCAAACTATACAATATCCCTTAATATTGTTTAAAATTTTGTATATATTATCAAATCCTTCCATTCGATGCCCGATAGGCTTTCAAGCAAATATACAGTAAACGGCTAAAATATGAAACAAATTTAAAAAAAAAAATGGAGTTCAAGCAAAATGCCTTTTTTCTTGCGCATTTTTTGCAGCAAATAGGAAATACACAGGACATATTTTTACTAGCAAAAGAATAAAAAACTAGTAGAAGAAATTATTTGATTGAGTGTTGAAAATACACTTTATTAACTTCTTGACAATATGCTAATCGGTATAATAACCCTTCCAGAATATTACTCACAATATTTTAATTAATTTGCCATATTTCATAATTTAAAAAAATCCAGTCGAGTAAAATCTGGAGATCTTACAGGCCATTCACGCACTTGTCGAACAAAATGAAGCGGAGCATCATCGGGGTGAAAGGAAATCTGTCTCTCTAGCACATCAGGCTGATTGGGATTTGAGAAAGAAACTGCGAGAGTGGGAGTTAAGTCATTTTGAAGAAAATGTAACTCAGTAAGATTTTCATCGAAGAAATAAAGTCCAATTATTTTTTAAATTAAAAATCACAACTAAACCTACTTCAGAAGATGGGGATTATCCTCAACTTCTAATGAAATATTTAGTCTTGTGTTCTCAATAGTTTTTGGATAAATTTAAACTGTGAATGATCAGCATATTATGCGGAGTCATATCTGCAGATGGGCAAAAGAATTTTTTTTTTCACGATATTTGAAGTTAGTCGCTCGTGCAAATTTCGACATCAATTAGAAAAATGTGCAGAGTACTTATGGAATGTTATTGAAATGTAAAATAATAATAGGATTTATTATAGAGAATTATATTTCTGTAACCCGTATGTCTAACTTTCTTTCCTTTTGCCTTTGTGTTAAATGTCAAATCCTCCAAAGAATATAGAGGAATAATATTAATATCATATTAAAATAGACACGGATCGACAGAAAGTCGACATTGTTTTCTCAAATGACTTATATCTATGAGCATATTTATAGGCAAAAGAAACATTTTCCACGATTTTTCTTTAAATATGATTATGTGGAATTTACTGTGACTCATTCAACTGTGATTTTTTTTAAATCTTTTATTCATTACTTTATTTGTCCATTTGCCCACTCCATCCATCGATATACAGTATACATAAATATTATACTGTGTTATTTCAGAATAAAAAAAACAACCTTTTACCTGCCTTATATATTTTTGGCCACATTCATTTGCATATTTTAAACGTTAGATCCTATAACAATAATATAAGATTAATATCAATATCTTATTAAAATAGAGGCGGGTCGACACAAATTCGACTTTACATATTTGACACCATATGATTGCATATTTTGAATGTCAGATCTGCCAAAAAGAATAAAATATTAATATCAATAGCATATTAGCCACTAACTGTGTTTCATTATCAACATTTTGTAAAGGGACTTATTTCTTTTTTCTCTCACAATTTTTCTCTAAATTTGATTAGGCGGAATTTATTAGTCCCAAACGGTGTCTTCATATTTGATACTGAAAGCAATTCCTTCTAATATAATAATTAATTTTAAATGTTCAAATTTTATTTCAGATTTTGTAACAAGCCTACCAAAAAGCAACTTAACTCTTCAACAAATGTTCATATTTTTGTATTTTTTGGGCACGTTGCACAATAAAACATACTCTTTATTTGTCTTTTTATTTTTGTTTTAAATGTCAAATCCTTCAAAGAGTATAAAAGATTAATATTAATATCATATTAAAATAGACACGGATCGACACAAAGTCTACATTGGTTTCTCAAATGACTTATTCCTATGACCATATACATGGGCAAAAGAAACTTTTTCCACGATTTTTCTTAAAATTTGATTAGCTGTTGTACAACAAAAGAGACTCTTTAAACAGTGATTTTTTCCAAATCTTTTATTTATTTTATTGCATAATTTGAATTATTTCTATTTTCTCTCACATTTTGTCTCTAAAATTGGTTAGGTGGAATTTATTAGTCTCAAACGGTGTCTTCATATTTGAATTGTTTGCACAATTTAGAGCTCAAAACTACTGAAAGCAATTCCTTCCAATATTCGTAATATGTAAGGTTTGTAAATAATTCTTATCGTTTACGTTTAAATTGTGATTTATGGGTTCGGTAGACCAAATTCTCCGATAAATATAAAACCCACTTTTCTTTCGCGATCGGATCTGTCGATTGATATTTGAAGTTATAATGTGTTTTCGTTATTTCAGCCAACGTACCAAAGACGACAGATCAATTCGGGGGTTCGTATTCGTCCCTGAACGCGCGGCTAGCCGGTAATCCGCCTCTCTGGATCACCCACAATTCCGGTCGTTACCACAACGACATTTACGTCAACAACGCGAGACTTCTACTAGGTCAATCGAACCTAATTGGCCAAAAAGATGGACCCAAAGGCACGATTAAACAGGTGCGGTTACACGATAGCTTCTAACGTTTGATGTGTGTTCCGAAGTTTCTCTTTAGTTCGACTGAAGGGAAGATGGAAAGGAATAGATAATATTACCAATAAAACCAAATACGTCCGGAAAAGAATAAATTTGTTATATGTCTAAGCTATAATGATATACTTACAGCAGAAATATAGTGTTTTTACAACCGACCCCGTGATTAACTTTGCCTACTGTTTATTACTCCAAAAATGCAGCCCCTTATAGAACAGATAGATAGAAAGATACTAAACAACATTTTATTTTTATTACCTACTTAAATTACTTAAAATTATTCACATAATATATCAGTATCACTATCCCTATCATCGCCTGTTCTAATTATTATTATTTGTTCTATATTATTTGCAATATGGATATACGATTGTTCTGCTTTTTCTATATGTTTAACAGAATTTGCCCAACTTTTTGGAGGGATGTTAAAAATTTCGGTTTCTATAAGTTTGAGGACATTGGAGTTAACAAGGGGAAAACATTGTCACGATGAATGGCAGATTTCAGTTGGTGCCAAACATGTTCAGTGGGATTAAATAAACAGTGATAACTGATAAAACTGTATGCCTTAGATTTTTTGCACAATTATCTTTTTGTAGGTTCAAGCTTTCTATAACCTCAATTAATTGTTTTTTTGTATAATCTTCGTGAAAATAAATGTAGTTTTGGATTGTTGCTTTTGTGTCACATGAGGAAGGGGTTTTAGTCAACTGTCTACTGTGATAACTTGCATTGTCCATTACAATGACGCTATTAGAAGGAATGTTTGGAACTAGTTTGTTTTTAAACTAACATTCAAATAAATCAGCGGTGGTGTCTTCATAGTAATCCAGAGAAGAACCTTTAATATTTTTCGCAGACAGAGAAACCAACTATTTTGCAAGCCAGCATGCAAAATTCTTGTCAGTTGTCAATTATCAATCAATACTAATTTTACCTAGATATTCCAGTCGTCATTTCCGAATTCTAAAAGATTCCATTAAAACTTGCCTTTTGTCAATTTTTTTAAATCTAAAACCCATGCGTTGAATACACTTCCATAAGGTAGTGCTGCCACATTTAGCACCGGTTTCAACTTTTTCAAGCCTCCTAATTAAGATGTAGGATTTGTTCCTCGTATAACTGGTAAATTTTACGCCGTATTATATCATGATCACTTTCATCTACACTCGAGAAAACGTCAGCATCGCTTCTTTTTTTCCTCGCTGAAATGGGATTATTCTCAATTTTCCATACAGTTGATGTTGGAATTTTCGTCAATGTGGCCGTTTCTTCTAAATATGTTTGCTTGCTGGCACCACGTTCAATGAGAGTCAAATAAACATTGTTTATAACTTCCTTAGTCTCAATAGAATAGTGTTTTCTACATTTGGGAGGGAGCATCTCCTGAGATACACTAGACTCGCACATATTTTGCATAATTCGCACACTATTCAACACACGCTGTATTACACACAAAATAAGAATGATTACTAATAAACTTAAACTGAGTAGTATACCAAACCAAAGAATATTAAACACAGGTAGGTATAAAATTATTTTCTATTACGGACCACAATTTTACCTGAATTAAATTTGCGAAACTTTAGGTAACAATACTGTCAATACTTTTTTATGCAGTTATTCTACTGTTTAAACACTATTTACTTTATAAGGGTCGTGATTATAAGCCTAATTCTCTCATTTCCTCTTGCAAGACTTTTTCTTCCAGTTGACTTCGGAACTTTGGTCATGTCACTTGTTTTTATTCCTGCTCCTACTTCCCCTTCTAACTAACTAAAATAATTTCTTTAGCATCCGAAGACAAAAATGGATCCGTTTTTTTTATTTGCTGAGTTAGTTCGTCTTCTAAATTATCATTAGGTGCGACTTGGTCCACTTGGTCTTCAAATTCTGCGTTGTTTTCCACAGGGGAACATCTGCTTCATTCCACGATCTCCACATTTTGAAGTGTTAAAAAAACAGAAACCTGCAAAAAATGTATGCAGAAGACACAAAAATACAAGATGAAGAATGTTAATAGGCAGGCACACAAGACAAAAATTATAATTTTCAAACTTACCTGTAAGATAAATAGAATACAGATACTTTCCCTTACCCTTTGAAGTATCCAGTGAAAAGAGCCTCGCAGGTTCAAAGCTCGAGAATCAGATACGCACTTACTTAAGCATCACAGTCAAATACCACCGTAATAGGAACATACATACACCTGACACTTCTCCTTATTCGAAAATACCCCGCAGCATCAGTGCTTAATCAAATTTAAAATAAGAATTTCAAGTTTCTACAAATATTCGTTACGGTCCATCTCAGGCAAGAAATACTTAATGTAGAATAAACATCTGTTGGGATGGGTTTCACCACGGCCCTTCGAAGGTCTGCGGTTAAGGCACAGTAAAATACTTAAAACGTCAAAGCAATTAATGCACTATGTTTTTGGTCGTATTATAACTATTTATTGAGTGTATCCCAGTTTCCTTTCAAACAAGATTGCTTTCGAAATTTCGTAGCTGCGCGGAGTGTTTTTCACGCATCTCCGAACTTCAAAGTTACGGAAACTTTTGATAAATATTAAAATCTTTACAAGTAATAGCGGTTTCCAATGATATTTTTCCAAGAATCTCGCACACCCTGTGTGACAGACGAAACCGGAAACTTTCTCTCCACACAATTAACAATAATATTTAAAGCAAATTATTAGTTTTCAATTAACGGCTAATAATTTACCCACGAAAACGACAATTTTCAGGGTCTTTTTTATTTTTTGCACATAATCGACACACCCTGTACATAATTTAAAAAATGCCGGAACCACGGTTCCTGGTCTATCAATTTTTCCTATAGAGTAAGTAAATGTTTTTTTCTGAAACTATGCAGTAAGCAAAAACTTTAGCTCTTGATGCAGCCTACAGAACTGTATAAATCATGTAGCTATATTTTCCCGAATTTTGATTTACGGCTAATGATTTGTTCCCGAAAAGAAAAAAATTTCAGAATCTTTTAGATTTTTATGTATAACTGAAAAACCCTGTATAGAATTTTAAAAAATGCTTGAAATAAAGGTTACAGTGTATCAGATCTTCCGCACCCACTGGTTCAAGAGTTTTGCCGATCGGGTTAACAGATTTTGAGAAAATACATTTTTTGACATTGTACTTTTTTTAAAAAACTATCGAGAATATCGATCGTATATGCCGTTTTTGAGAATTTTTTGCAAATGGGGTTCTAGAATTTTTAAAAATACTTCCCTAGAGGAAGCTTGCGAAAAGTTATTTGACAGGAAGGTTCCAGTTTGCGTGTTACTCAGACTTTCCTATTTGGGTGATTCTGCTCTGTTATTTTTTTACTTAAAATTTCTAAGATTTCAAAACTACACTTTTTAATTTTTTTTATGTACATTCTTCATTTGTTTTGCTGTAAACGTAAATGACTGAAACGATTTTGCTACAACTTCAGAACAAGAAACAAATTTAATATTTTCCATTTCACGGTATTCACATAAAATAGATTTGGGTTCTAAAATCATATAAACTCTTTTCGCTATTTCAACTCCATGTAATTTCAACATTATTCAATAGACCTTTCATAAGTCTCAAGGCAGATGGCGCGAGAGTCGTAAAAATTGAAATTCAAAAATAAGTTAAATTTTAAAGTGCCCAATTTTTTTAGTCTGATTATAAAAATAAAAGGTAATTAGTTTAAACCATTTATTGCTGCGAAAAAAATTAACAATTTTTGGATAATTTTAAGAATTCGATATAACACGATACTGACATTTAGCTGATATATTTTAGGTTCTCTCTGAATGACAAATTGTATTATACAGGGTGTCCTACGAAATAACTTGGAGTGTGTTGCTGGGGTGATTTCAAGTTGAAAATGTGAAATGAATATATACCTGAAACATTTTTGCAATTTTAAAGGCCATTTGAAAAGAAACCGCTTTATAGAATTATTTAGAATTTTATGTATTGTGATAGTAATGTGTTACATTAAAATACTCTTCATGGTGCAATGTTTACTTCTTCGAATGAGGAATACGGCGCCATTCAGTTTGTTTATGGATTGTGTAATAGAGACGGACGAGAGTTAATGAATATCGTCGACGATTTCCAACCCGTGGAGTGCTCTGTAGAAGTGTTTTTGGCTTTTGTTCTACGTCTCGTTCAACAGGAACTTGCTCAAGAAGGGGCAATACTTAATACGATTGAATGATGCTCAACCTTCTACTAGTGACGTAGGCAGGATGAGAGTATGGAGAACATTACACAATTTCAGTTTGCACTCACACGACATCTTTAAACTTGCCGAGTACGCTTCAAGACTTGAATTTAGTCGCTGTATATTGAGAAATCAAAGGAGGTGTAGAACATTATTTAGTGATGAAGCCTCATTCACCCGAAGCGGCATCAATAAAACCAGGAATTCACATTGAAAATCCACGACAAACTCGGGAATCCGTTACGTCTAAAAGAAAATGATCTTCCAATATTACTGGATGATGTTCCTCTTATTGACAAAGTGTGGATTCAGCACAATGGCCCATCTCCTCATGAATTTCTTAATCAAAATTATACAAACCGGTGAATTGGAAGAGGTTCATCAGTTCCTTGGCCAGCAAGGTCACCTGACCTCAGTCCCTTACTTTTTATGGAGAGGACTGAACACTAGTTTATGCAGAAAGTATTGAAAACTAAAACAACTGGTAGCTAGAATAAATAATAAAATTTCAAATAAACGAGTTTCTTTTACATGTTTCCACATATATGTTCACCTCATATTTTTAACTCCCATTCTATGGGATGATAACTTATTAATACAAAAATGTTGTTATTAGATTATTAATTCACCAGGGAGAACAGACAATACGAGACATAAAAAATCAGTGTGCCCAAGGTAAGAATGTCTATTAGGGGGATATTGGAAAACGTAAGAAATACGAAAGTGATTAAATTGGAAAAAAAATGCAAAATTTAAAGATTAATATTCCAATCACTTCCGAAAATGCGTCCAGAAAACTGAAATTTGACGAATTGGTTTTTTCGGTTTTGCTTCGGTGAAACCATCATCAACTTTGTGTTTTCATAGGGTCCGGAAAAAATTACACCTTGTATTAATTTAGAATTAATTAATACGGCTCAACAGTGTTTAAATTACAAAAAAAAAATTAATTGATATCGTAGGTGCTGACACTATTAATAAAAAAGTGATAAATTCGCTAAATAGGTAAATCTCATAATGTGTTACTACATAACAAAATTATAAAGGGTGTTTAAAGAAGTAACCATTGTTTGGATGGTGTACTCGAGAGATTTCATAATATACAAATGTTTAACAAGTTTCTGTAGGTCTAATCATCACAGAGGGGGAGTAGGTATATTTTTGAAGAATAATATTAACTTAACTTATAAAACTTTGGATATAAAAGATTTTTACTATTTAACTATTAAACTTTCCATATTGCAGGTTTAATCAACATTATTTCTCACATGTATGTGCATGTACAGACAAAGATAAAATAATAATGTAATACATACAAAAAAGAGGCTTATACAAACTATTTACAGTTATCCAAAAATAAGAGCAAAGATTTCTCGCAATAAATTAATATCGAAATGTGTCGAAGAGCAATATTTAAACTGCCGTGGTTAGATATTCAGTATTGACAAGTACTACATTTCTCGGGCAACCTTCTAGAAAAAATACATTTTGGGTGTCTTGGTTAGTCTCCCATTGAAGAATGATTTCGGCGCCTTTTTGTCATAAATATAAATGTATATTTTAGGTTAAATTTGTGTAAGTTTCTATATGTATTTTACTGTTGACTGTTGAGCGTTTGTTAAGAATTTATTAAAATTAATATTTATTAGACTATTTGACGTTTGTATACTTTTTTGCTTTGTGTCGCTTCGCAACTATTAGAAATCATGAAGAATTTATTGAAAGAGTAAAGAAAGAAACTGTGAGGGATATTGTTTTTAAATTTTGGTTCCTGACACAGGAGGTGTAGTCCACATTTTCAAAATATTATCAACGCTGGTTTTCGTAGCAATTGTAATAACGATGTTATTGCAATATTAAATTACAAAGACGAAGTTAAAACTTAGCTTACTATCTTAAACTAGTTTCCTAAATTAACCTTAACTAATTTGGTGGCAACATAAGGTAGATAAACAAATAGGCTTATAAGAAATCCAGTTATTTAACAATAAATTATATAAACATACTCTACAAAAGTAATGAGACTAAATTTTATTTTTTGATGTAAATATCGTAAACGTTTCGTTCGTTTATTATAATCGCACAACGTCACAAAATATAAACTATAGCAACAAATATACTTTCGAATCATCAGTGTACATGTGAATATTTGAAGTACGTACAAAGTGTAATGTAGAGAGGTTCGAGGTTGAGATACGCACTGTCGTAACGGTGGCATTAGATTTAAGAAAACCTGATTGCTTTACCGCATCCTGGTTCAAGAATTTTTTGAAAATATTAAATGGTTTTCGAGAAAATAAGTTTTTTCTGAAACCATGCAGTGCGCCGTAATAATTGCTGACGTCATGGCGTCTTGACAGCCCCCGAAATAGCGATTTCAATATCAATTTTTTCAAATAACCCGAGCGGCGTATGTGATAGACGAAAACCGCAAATACAAAAAAATAAACGAATATAGCGGAAAACATATTTTTCTGGAAGCTAAAATTACCAGAAAAAAAATTTCAAACATTTTTAAAAAATACTTGGCAAAATTTGATTGCACCCAATTTATACCGTTTAAGTGTGGAAAAGTTGATATCTGCATATTTAGGACACTTAACACATTTCTCATTTAGCGCGGAATATCGGGAACATCCTGTACAATAGGTGAAGACCTTAAATACAAAAGTTTTTGCTGTCTATACGGGCCGTATCGTATTATAAAAGAAAGTGAGATCTGAATGATAGTCATAGTGAAAGTTGTCAAGATTAAAAGTTTATAGAGCCATATCTGCTGCTTCTTCTGGTTCTATAATTTTTTTGGTCACGTAAACGGTTTTTGAAAAATGATGTTTTTTGTAGACCCTTGCACGCGAGATTTTTTATTTTTTTAGAATACTTCCCGACCCCCAGCCCCCCATCATCAATAGGTTCCGTCAGGCGGCAAAACTGCATGTATGTGCCAAATATGAAGTCGATTGCTTCAAATTTCGGACACTTATAGTGTTTCATAGCAAGGTCCAAAAAACAGTCGAAAATCGCGAAAAAAAAAGATGGATACTGGCGTCGGATCAGGGCCATTTCTTATAAGCTTATTTGCCTCGTGGAGGATTAAAAAGGAGGCAAATTTCAAGTTTGTAGCTCCAATGATTCGAAAGTTATTCCAAAAGAAGAGAACGGAGAACGGACAAACAGACAAAAAAATTTAAAAAAAATTTTTCGCACGGTGATTATTTCTGTACCAACGGCGATCCCGGCGTGATATAAAATCTTTTAAAAGTAGAATCCGACAGGGAATGTTGTGAGATTATATGTGATGAAAAGGAACGTAATTTCAAAGATTGCTAGTATGGTCTAAGTACAAAAGCTAATATATAAATAAATACATTCCACAGCAGGTCACTGCGTTTGGATTCTTAAACTATAATGAATTGTCCATCCAACTGACGAAGATACCATGAAAATCAAAAACTTTGATATTTTATTGCGCTTTCTCTTCTACCAAATGCTTATAGACAAAAGTTAATTTGTGTCGGAATTTGACACTGTTTATAATTTCAAATTAACAGTTTGTAAGTCACTTTAACAGGTTTGTACAAAAAATGAGAAAAAAAAATGAAAAAAAGGAATATATGTTTACTGAATCACCCATTTTTGTAAATCTTGCCTTACGTATTATTTGCTTTCCGTGGTGTAAAAAAATTCAGTAAGTTTTTGGCATTAATTTGTTAATTTCATTCTGACAGACCTAAAGAAAATAAATCATAAGGAAAAATGTGACGTTTATTAACCGCTGATAGAACTTAGCAGTACATTGTCAACTGTTTCTTTTAGTTTTAGTTAGTTCAGCACTAATAATAATAACAATACAACTAATAAATTAAATATGATCAATTGGCCAGAGATAAATGAGGTCTACAATGCTTAACATTGCTGTCTATTGATCCACTAAGTAGCAGCCTTTTGTGGAACTATAATTCTAGCAGCGATAAGAATATTTTTATGTTTTATTTTTCTGTATGACCCAAAAAACAACAACTAATAATAATGGTATTAAAATTTTGTTTCAGATTTTACACAAAATCGACGAGGTTCTAATTCCAACCAGATCATCACTGACTGCAGCTAACCCAGTCTTTAACCCAACGGCCTGGGAATTTCTAGAAAATTACGAATCTCTAATACAAGGACCGCACCGCTTGAGGTAGGTACCTCGGTGTAGTTGAGTCCCAATAATATTTGACTTTGTCCGTAGAACATTCCGTCAAAGAGTTCAACAAAATAATAAAGAAAACATTTTTAAAGACGAAGGAGTGCAGTCGTTTTTCATTCCGGTGGATGAAGGATTTGTGGTGAGTGTTTTTTTTTTCAAATTTCGACCAGCTACTGTAATGCGTTTTACAAAACCTCTGGATCACTCCTGTGTCTGTTGTTTATAAATCAAACTTGCTGACATTTCGCTGTTGGCTTCTTCGGAGCTTAACTGAATCCAGTTTTACTAAATTACACACGGAGTTAGTATACTAGGTGCTTAATAATATGAACATTAGGGCAAGAGATGCAAAAATATCAGAAAAAAAATCATATGGATATCGATGTAAATGGGTATCGCACATTAGATATAAACAATATTTAGTTAGAATTAATTAATTTAATTATATGATCCAAATTTTATAATGAAGAACGGTTGAGGTACTAAAATGCGCAATACATAGCTTTTTCTACAAAAATCTAAAACTTTTATCATTTTCCTACATTACCATAACAGGCTTAACGGATCATTAGATTTTTTGAGAAAACGGAATGTATCAATTTCTCTCTCTCTCTCTCTCTCTGTATCTTTACAACTTCAGATTCACAAAAGCCCTTGTGAGTGTAATCATTTTTTTGAATGTCTCAAGTTTACCCATAGCATTCCACATTTCCGCTCTTGTTATACTGAGCCTTTTTTTAAAGCAATAAAGAGTGGATGTAATATTTTATCACATTCTCGTTAATTCTTTTCCTCCTCTATCAATCTTCAATATTATCAGTTCCATTTTTACAACTTTCTTTCCCTCCTTCTTTAGTTTTTTTTAAAAACATATTAATTATTTTCTATATTTTTCAACTGAAGCAGACTCGAAGAAAGCTGAACTTTTGCCTGCAATTTATTAGTATTCTGGGTACAGGTCTCCATTCCTCTTACACAACATTCATCTAAATGCATTTTTTTCAAGTGGTTTAAAATATTTATTTATGCTTTGGGAAAAAGAAACATGAGGCTATGGAAATAAAACTAACTAACACCACTTTATACACACTTCAGTTCGCGATGTCAGTCAGTCAGGTGTTAATAGCCAACGATAAGGACAATATGTCGTATATTACTAGGAAACTGCCGTCCGAGTACCGGTTTCAAATACAAATACCTACCGCGTACCACCATCTGACATAGAACTAGAAGATAACAGTGTCATAAGTTCTTGTCAAGAATATAAATATTTGGGAGTTACTTTTGAAGGAAATAGAACTGACAACAAAGAAATCAGAACATCAACAAACCAGGCACGAAAAATTATTGGATGTTTGGATGGAATATGCAGTATGAAGAGAGGGCTCTTATTTGGGTCACAAGCATGGCGATTTACGGAAAACGTGTTTAGGAGGTCGTTCAGAATATCTAGATTAGAAAGAAAAACAGTGAGAGAAACCTCTGACACATGGAATTAAAATAAAACAACTGATTTGGTATGGATGCGTCAAACGGATGGACAACATAAGACTTCCATGAAGGCTATGCATAAACTCGACCACAAAGACGGAAGAAAGGAAGACCTTGGCAGAAGGAGTCAAGAAGACACTGAGCAATAGAGACTTCAGAAAAGTACAACGGAGGGAGCGCCTCAGACGATGGATATTCTAAAACCAGGTTTTGTCGTTTTGTTTAAAAAAAAATGCTTTTTTGAATTTTTTTTCAAACAAATTACAAACAAATAACACAAATAGACTACTGTAATGCTATTTACACGAGGAATCCTGAATATTTGTAAATAGTGTTGATATTATTTATTTATCATTAATTTATAAACAGGGTATTCTACCTGAAAAAATGCTGCGTTTTTGTTAAGTTCCTGTACAGAGTAGAAGGTTTCTAAATCTTCAAGTACCCAGCACTAAAATATAAGGATTAATTAATTTATCGAAATCCGAAGGAGATAAGCATGGGCATGTATTACGTAATTGAGTAAGATACAGGCTATCGCATTAAAATAAATCAAAATTCTTACTACTTCTTAATGCAATCGGCGACATTGTGCCGCATAAACTTTTAGTTCTATAGTGATATTTTGACATTCTGCTCAATAGTAAATAACAAAAAAAAACTACATAAACAATCTTATTTATCTGAGTTATGTTGTTTGTTATGTTTATGTATGTGATAGACTCCTTGTATATTGCCAATGTTAATCATAATACAGGGTAATATACACATAATTGTCATGGCTTATTGTCTTTATTTAGTAGAATTTGGGTTTTCAATATTGACATTCTGCTCAATAGCAAATAAAAAAAAAACACTACAACAACAATCTTATTCCTCTGGGCTGTGGTGTTTGTTATGTTTATGTGATAGACTCCTACAGGGTAACATTATACAGCATAATTGATATGGCTCATTGTCTCTATTTAGTAGTGTTTTGGTTTTCAATTTCGAAATTCTGCTCAATAGTAAAAAAAACACTACAACAATCTTATTTCTCTGGGCTATGTTGTTTGTTATGTTTATGTGATAGACTCCTTGTATATTGGCAATGTTAATCATAATACAGGGTAACATTATACAGCATAATGTACATGGCCCATTGTCTCTATTTAGTAGTATTTTGGTTTTCAATTTTGACATTCTGCTCAATAGTAAAAAAAAACACTACAACAACAATCTTATTTCTCTGATCTATGTTGTTTGTTAGGTTTATGTGATCTCCATCTTCATATGCGTGTCTAAGGAAAACAGCCGGTAGAATGTTGTTTGTTCATCAAAAGCATCTTAAAGCGGTCCTGGTTTTGGTTGGTTAGCTTAGCGAAAACTATTATGAAAAATGGATTTTCCCTTTTTTCATCTTTTGTTTTCCTACGTAAGAAGATTTAGAACCGTTCATCCATTTTGTTTAACTTAATGTCTATCAATTGTCTTGTCTAAAAAGAGCTGATGAACACAGGCATTGTGTGACATAGTCAATCGCCTTCTCTTGGGAAGAACGTGGATTGATCGATTTGGCGTGTTGTGTTTCTAGAATTCCCGAGCTAACTTGATCGACGAGATAATAATAGATGGACACGTCATCCCGAAGCAAGTGTTGTTTACCACGCCGACGCAAAAAGACTACCCGTTCCCTACACTGGCCAACTACGATAACGTCATCAGGGTTGTAATATCGTTCACGCAGGAGCAACGAGGGAACACAATTAAAAGTAAGGCAAACAATTTATAACCATCATTTTAATAAATACGGATTTGTTATTTTTCGACAATTTAAACTTCCGGGATAATGTTTACCGGGACTACTAACCAGTTGATGCGAAATATTTTTAATCGCTGCGTTTTCCGCTGAATCAAAACTGAAAAAAGTAACGTCAAAAATGATGTCGTTCTTCATTTATTGCGGAAAATAACTTCCTCTTTCATCTGATAAATAAATAAACGGTCGGTAAGTGCGCGCTTTCGCCCCTTCCGTTTTTTCCAATAATTTTTCTTTTTATATATCAGATTACATGAACTCCGCGCCGGGGAAATTCTGACTGGAGATTTATTTATTGTCTTCCATTTCTTATAGCTCTAACGATACACAACTGTGTATTTGGTATAATGTACAGGGCAGGGTGTTCCTAAAAAAACAGTGAAAGAGGCTTTTGCTAAGCTATCAAACATGATATAAGTGACACAATTGTGACGGAGTGCCCTGCCACTAGATGGCGTTTTCTGACATAATGGCCAAAAAATAATTTTTTGAAAGAAAGTTAAATAGACACTCAGTAGATAAACAAAGGGAGTTGCAGCAGACATAACCTCACTTTTGGTATCTCGGCTGCTTGTTGGGGGCCCCCGGGTAGTAGTAGTAGTAGTAGGGAGCCCCAGATGCTTTGTCCCCTTCTGCACCGGGTGCCCCCTACCACATGGTCTAAAAAAATCCTAATTTCGTGGGAAAAGTGTGCTGGACATCCATCACGTTGCAGCCACATATCCGTTCTCCTTTGTAAAAGAAGTTTTTCAAATAAAAGCGGCAAATGATTCCTTAATAAGTTCAAATAAATTTGGTCACTAACTTTATTATTAACGAAATGTAATTCGATCACCCAAAATACTACCCAAACGTTCACACTCCACCAAGTTTTATAATTTATTTCACGTATCAAGTGGGGATGCTAGGACAAGTAACTTCATGGGTCCATAATATTAGAGATGAAAAATTGGAATCCTCATCTGCCATGAATTAAGCTAATTAGAGTACTCTAATCTCCTATCAAAATAACTAATGATTTCAAAAATATTTTAGAATGTGCTCATTCATTGGAAAGACTTTCGACCCATTTTTGGTCTTGAAGGTCTTACTTATGGTTTATATAAGTCATTATTTATGTCATTACGTCTTCTCCAAAACTGAGTATTTGAAGAATGGTGGAACCACAATCCTATACCCTCCACGAATAAAAAATATTTCTTATAATTAGAATGAGATCATACCACTAAATTCCATTCTACTAAAATAACTTCTATTGGGATAATTTTCTGCGTGTGCTCGCTCAGCCCTATGCGTTTTGGTCATACTGGATATAGGTTAATTCGCGTAGTAGACACCTATTAGGTTAGCTGTTAATTTGAAAATTACATTTTTAAGCAAAGCAATGGTCGTTTGCAGTCGGTAGGTTTCAAAACCATGCTGTGACAGAGAATTTGGTTTCTAGTCAGATGCGTTAACCGACAGAAAAAATAATAACTCAATTTGAAACTCGAATTAATGATGATGATGTTTCATTTATTGGTAATATATAAAATAAAATTAAAACGCCTCTATTTTTCACTCAACGAAGGGCAGCTGAGCCGTTAACTTAATTGAGCATGTAAAAAAACCATTTCCATATATCAACTTACAGTAAGGCAAACTATTGAAGTAGGCAAAATCAATAATTAAAATAGTAGCACAATAATTAAAGCAATAAAATTGACAAGGCTAATGGACATTTAACACAAGTACAAAAGTATAACTTACTATATAATTTCCATCGAGAGTTTCTTTTATGTTGTTTAAAATACGCTCGAGATAAGTTTGAGACCAAGCTTATCTCTGGGTATCGGTTTAGCAACTTAGCAGACACATTAGAAGGAAGAAAGAATTCTAAGACCTAGGTTTGTGCATTTTTGGTATTTCATAAACGGTATTTCGGGTCGTAGTTCTTCCCTATTTTATGTAAAAAGGAGACTGCGTGAAGTTTTTGTCTATTGGCTATGTTAAGCCAGCTAATTCTTTCAGCTTTTCACTTATATCGTCTTTGGGTTTTAGACTGAATATGAAACGAATACATGAATTTTGTACTTTTTGTATTTTGGCGCTAGTGGCCAAATCCAAACATTGACCCAATACAAAATTGCAGTAGTTTCTACTACAGATCAACGCTTTTTAAGATAGAATACCCTTTTTCTATAGTTTTAGAAACATGAGTCTTGAACCTTAATTTATTATCAAAAATAACACCCAACTTTTTCCATTCAGAAACAACCTTTATTTTGACATTAGTGGTCCAATCTTTAAAAGGTCAGAAATAAATTATAACAGTAACTTGTTATTATGTGAGTATATTGCAATCTTCTCTAAACATTTATTTAATTTCTTTAAAACTTCAGCAGCCTCAGATATTAGGAAACTTGCATATAATAGGGTGTCATCAGCGTACTGATGTATGTTATATAGCTCAATGTAATAAATCATATCCGAAGTGAAGATAACAAAGAACAAGGGTTCCAGAAGAGAACCTTCAGGTACACACCTCTGTCCAACACTAATGCCCCCGACCTCCTATTCTAAAAACAAAACTACGAATTAATCTGATTGGAACCGAAAAGTATAACTGACCATAGGTCAGTTATACTAAAGCTGTCAATTCTCCAATATCAGCATCGAGAATTGCAGCATGAACCTTACGAAACTCACTTATATTTTGGCAAATGCGCAGATAATATCATCACTACCTACCAATGCTAACTCGAAATCTTTATTTGAACGCTTTGAACTTAAATAGCTCCTAAAGGTTTCAGTGTCTGGTGGAATTAGGCTCGCCAAGTTCTAAGGTGAAGCAGTATCTTATTGGAGTTCTTTGACCATTTTGGAAACATTTAAATAATCGGGAGGACGCCATATTTTTTTAAAATAATATACGGGCATCTTTTTTAAGGATTTTATGCACTCAATTTGTCTCGGATGCTTCGGCAATATCGGCATTTTTATTGCAATCAACTCAATCACAGTAAGAAAACTCAAAGATTAGATAAATTTAAACCGCAGATAATTAAGAGATTTTGACAAACATTAAATAACATGAACGATCTGGCTGGAATGGAATGACGTAAAAAATAGTATATTATGCAACAAGTGTGGTAACAGTATATTATGAAACAAGTGCGTTAGAGAATTACGATTATTATATATTATGTACGTTGTATTGTATTTCTTTTGTCAAAATATCACTTTCTTCTTCTTTCTCTACAATAGTATATTATGCAACAAGTGCGGTAAAGGGCATTTGACTTAAGTGTTTATTTGACACGAGCGGAGCGAGTGTTTAATAAACGAGTGATTTAAAAAGTTTACCGAATGTGTTGCATACTATGCTTTTTCTACGACCGTTAGTTTTTGTGTACATTTTTGCAAAACAACGCAAATCAAACATAATCGTCAGAATTGACAAAAGTCAAAATTCAAAGCGTGAGAAATATCTCCGAAAACATCCGATTGCTTCCAAATCCGTGCGGTAATATTTCGGAAATGTCCGAAGTGGCTCGGATTCGTGGGAAATGAAACTGACGCGGTAAAGTGACGTTTCCCACACTCTAGATCGGTGTGTAATTAGGTATTTTAGGGACGGGAGTAGAAAAACGGCATTTGACTTATGAGTTTATTTGGCACGAGCAGAACGAGTGCTTAATAAACGAGTGAGATAAAGAATTTTTCTACTCCCGTCTGGAAAATACCTAACTACCCACCAATCTAGCGTGCGGGAGGCGTCACTTTACCACGTCAGTTTCGTTTAACATGAATCCAAGCCACTTCGGACATTTCCGGGATTTTACTTCACGGATTTGGGAGCAATCGGATGTTTTCGGAGATATTTCCCACCCTTTGAATTTTGACGTTTGTCAATTCTGACGGTCATGTCAGTGAATGTATTCGTGTTGTTTTGCGAAAATGTACCCAAAAACTAACGGTCGTAGAAAAAGTATAGTATGCTCCGCTGCGCTCTGCTCGTGTCAAATAAACTCGTGAGTCAAATGCCGTTTACCGCACTTGTTGCATAATATAGTATTATCAAACGTGTTGCATACTATACTTTTTCAGCGACCGTCACGAAAAAATCACAATTTAACAAATTGATAATAGTAACAGCTTATAATATTTACTAGTTTCCATAAACCTTATCTTTTTTTAACTGTGTACGTTAGACAGAAAGAGATGTACCTTTGGATATGTCATATACACAACGAAATAAACAAAATTTTAAAACGTTATGTTGTTTACTTAACTTTTACAACTGATCATTAAGTAGTTTATTTATGTAATTGGAAGAAAAATCATCCAAGGAAAGAGATCTTAAAAGGATTAAATTTTTAGGATCATATAAGCAAGAAAAAACAGGTCCTAACCTTCAATTTTGTTTTGTTTGTACTGATGAGACATGGATATGTGTAAATGGTAAAATCGGTCTTGGCAAGATATTAATATAAAAACTGTACAAACCACTAAAGTTCATGCGAAAGGTATGTAAAATTTCAGTGGAAAACTTAAATTATAAATGTCATGTTACTTACCGACTAGCCCATTACACTTTAATAGTATAGTATTTATATTGCGTAACATTTTTCTGTGTATTAGTTTTTTGTATATTTTTGCAACAACAACACGAATACATTCACTGACATGACAATCAGAATTGACAAACGTCAATATTCAAAGCGTGCGGTAAAATCTCCGAAAACATCCGATTGCTTCCAAACCCGTGCGGTAAAATCCCGGAAATGGCCGAAGTGGCTCAGATCTGTGGGAAACAAAACTGATGTGGTAAAGTGTCGCTTCCCGCACACTAGATCGGTGTTTAATTAAGTATTTTACAGAAGGGCGTAGAAAAAATTATTTTTTTGTCATTATGTCAGAAAACCCCACCTGGTGGCAGGGTACGCCGACGTAATCATCTCATTCATTACAAGTTTAATAGCTTAGGAAAAGCCCCGTTCGAAAACTCCAAGTTTATTAAAATGTATGTATTAAGTATGTGTTTTTTGAGTTATCGACATTTAGTTCCTCCACACTCCCCCACCATTTTCCATTTAGAGTAAAAAAGAATCTAACAAAAAAGAATTTGTTTCAGCTTTAAAACAATGTTTGTTCACTCTAAGTTGCATTAAAATTTGGCAGAACCTCAAACATAATTTCCAACATTTTGTCTTGTTATTCCTATTAACATCTGTTTCCCCAGTATCATTTTATGATTATAATTTTTCTATAATTTCTTGTTATTGGGTATTTGAGTTTGACCTTTTGGAAATGAATAGCTGTATATTTATTTATTGTTAAATTTTGCAACTGAACTTTTGTATTAATTTAGATTACGTGAAATCGCACACGCTGATCGGAGACGGCAAACACACCCCGGGAGTGGTCCTGGCGGAAATCGTGAAAGCCAATATCCCAGTGAAAAATGGAGTCATTCATCTTATTCACAAGCCTCTAATGATCGTGGACAGTACTATAAAGGAATTGTTACAGGTAAGGGTGCGAAGGCGCGCGACTATTCGTTTTGATTAAGTCCAACGGAATAACAAAAATATATATCTGGATGGTTTCGTCCCGAAGGAGATGTTGAAAAAATATGGGGACGACCTCGTTATTCGAGAAACAAAAGCGGAATGACACGGTCGAAATAATTACGCCGGATAAATAAATTATTCCGTCACGAACGTAATCCCATTACACGTGAATTTACTGGAAAAGCAATAAAAAACGATACAATAAAAATTAACGATAATCGAAAACGTTAACTTAACTTAATGACTCGTTGCACGTAGTTACACCGACGATTTATCAAAAATTTGAAGTATTGCTTATTTAACTTTCGAGACAGGTTCTTTATAAATGGGTTTCAATTTCGCGATTATATTTCAACATTGGAAAATTTTATTGTGTCCTCCGTTTTATTTTGAATACTTTTATTCGAATAACATTAGAGTAAATGACGTTAATTAGTTTATGCCTGCTTTGCGTAATTTTTCTGGAATTTTGTTACCACTTTGGGCAAAATTTTTAATAAAACGGACCATATTAATTCAACAATAATGGAATTCACAACAAATTTAGTCAAAAGTCTTTAAAAGATAGTTAGGGCTACATACGAGGTTAGCGCCACAATTTCCCTGCCTGCTCCAGTATCACAATAAAAATTTGTCTTCTTTTAAATATATATATCTTAGTAGGCTTCGAAATAAAAATTGAAGTATTCCGTCAAATATCTTTTTATTGACAGCATTTTAAACAAGACGTGTCCGAAAAAATGTCGCACATAACGCAAATTGAGTATAGAGCAGTCATAAAGTTTTTGACAAAAGAAGGGTTAGCACCTAAAATTATTAAAGAAAGGCTGGATGGTGTATACGGCCAAAGTTCTCTTTCGTATTCTGTAGTGAAAGAATGGGAAAAACATTTTCGAATGGGGAAGGAATCCCTTGAAGATGACTCAAGAACTGGTCGACCAGTGGAGGTCATAACGGAAGATATTGTTACGATTTTGGAAGAGATGGTATTGAGCGATCGACGTTTAAAGGTCGAGGAAATCTCAGAAGTTACTAAACTTTCTGATACAACTGTTTATCCAATCCTGCATGATCATTTAGGTATCCATAAGGTTAGTGCAAGATGGGTCCCTGAAAACCTTTCGGCTGTTCAAAAACAACCCCGTGTTGAGTGTGCGCGGTCTTTTTTGGAACTCTGTGGGTCAGAACCGAAGCCCGTGATAGAATCCACTATGAAGGGAGATGAAACTATGGTTCTCTATTATGACCCTCTATCGAAAAAAGAATCAATAGAGTGGCATCGTAAGCGTGAAGCACCTCCAAGAAAATTCTGTCAGTCAACAAAAAAGATGATAGCCACGATCTCTTGGGATTGTGAAGGAATTCCTTTCATAGATTTTAAAGAAACTAATACCACTGTCAATGGTAAATATTACGCAACATTATTACATAAATTGCGAGACTGCATACGTGTAAAACGTCGAGGAAAACTGACCAGAGGCGTGCGTCTTTTGCACGATAATGCACCTGTCCATACTGCTGGTGTTGCTCAAGCTGCCATTTTAGAGTGTGGGTTCTAACAGATAGATCATCCTCCCTATAGTCCAGATATGGCCCCAGCGACCATTATTTTTTTGGATATTTGAAAAAGGTCTTACGTGGACGGCGGTTTAACGACGAAGTGCAGTTAAAAGAGAATTTTTTTTTTAAGTTATTGAGTTGTTAATAAAGAGATGTAATAAGTGTATTGAAGTTAAGGGGGATTATATTAAAAAATAATAAAAAAATTGTTACTCTACTTTGTTTCTTTCATATTCAGGCCGGGAAATTTTGGCGCAGCCCTCGTAGCAGTGTGTGAAAATAACAACCGTCCCATATTTTTTAAACATCTTTTTCAACATGAATATATATTCAAATACACAGATTTACACTGAACCAGGTTACACATTACTTGCACTTGCTTGCGTTGACACACGGTATTTGGTTGTTTTTTTATTTTTTTTTTAATTCGCCCTGTTCTTTTACAGTGCCATTTCCTTTTTGTTTTTCGAAAACTGTTTTAAATATATCAAAATTGCAGATACCGCAATGAGGAGAATTTTTACTGATTTAATTTTTTGTCAATCATGGTTTAAGAGGTTCCGTATCATGCCATTGTCCTGTGAAAATATTCCAAGAAATGCAGACAATCATAATTATTTTAGTAGATTTGGCGACAATCTACTAAAACCACAACTAAAATTAAAAAAATCGTTAGACTATAGTGTTCATTAAGATATAATATTTTAAGCATAAATATTAGATCATAAAATCTCATTTCTTTTGAAAAAAAAAATAAAAAGTGATTATTTGCTACTTTATTCTATACTGCTGCCGAGTATGTAGATCAGGCTAAATCTAACACTGAGCTGAATATTCATTAAATTTTATTCTTTTTTTACGTGGTTGCTATTCTTATCTGGTTTTTTGTTTTTTCTACATTATCTCTGTATTTAAATATACCCAACTAATTTTCTAATTTACATTATACTTTTTCTTTACATGGTTCAATGACTCTATTGTAATACGTAGTTCATAAATCTTGAATCTTGTACTGCCAATCCGCAAACAGGGTCAATTTTGCATGGTATTAGAGGTATTTTAATAACTTGTTTCAAAAAGTTATTTCGAATAAAATTCTGATTTTCTGTGTCGTGGAAAGAAAAATCTCTATGACATAGTCAAATTGATAGTGCCATTTACGTAATTGAAATTCCACAGTAAAATAAATAACGCGTAGGTAACTGATTGAATTTAATTAAAATGTCAATTCTCATAGTACAAATGACAATTAATCAAAGAAGCTGTGGCTTGTAACTTTGATGGAGTTGCAGGGGCAGTGCAACCTCTTCCGTAATATTTTACTTATAGGCAAAGTACCCTTGAGCTAATGTCTTACAAGAAGAAGGCAGCAATGACCCTAATAATTTTCCACCAATTGATCTGGCCAATTCGGTAGTGAAGTCATTTACGAGCATACTCCTGAAGACGCTTCTGACATTGCATCTATACTTCTATATCTATACTTTACATTCTATGGAACAATTGCACTTGAGTCTTAGAGGCATAAGAGTTTATGTCGTCTTTGTTGATTCTTATACATGTTTTGACTCTGTCGGAACTTACTGTGGCACAATGGCACAAGTTTCATATCTATGGTGTCGGTCTTAAATTTATCAAGGTTGTAAATGACTTGTACGAAAATGCTTCTGCCTCTATCAAAGAGTTGTTGACCTATTTTCAAGGAAGATTGAGAGTATATTCGATGTCCTTCAATGGGCTCGGCGACTCTGAGACTGAAATTAGATGCAAGTTAAACACTTGAAAAATTGACCAAATTATTAGTCAATGTCTAAAAAACCAAAATCATTTCCTTTAGATTAGGGGGGCGGGGTAAATCCTCCAAGAGCTGCTTTTTCCTGTTGAAGTAGTGTAATGTCTAAACTTTCTGTTCAAATTACTTAGAATGGGAACCAATAGATTCCCAAGGCAGTGTTTCGATCACCAATTCAAATTGGCGAACACTAAACTCGTACTTTCCTATAGAAATCTAGATAAGATAGATAGATTTATTTATTCACAAACTCTGATCAGTGTATGTATATAATAAAACAATGTATACATGAACTTAAAAAGAAATTTACGAGTACTACAAGCAAATTTATATCAACACTTTAACATGAAAAACAAATAAATTCATTTCTCAATTCTTTTAGGCTGTAGAAAGCATTGAACGACAAGAACATCTTGACTTGGCTTTTAAATTAGTTTGTTGATAGATTTTTTAAGATTTAGAAGAAGCAAATTATAATGGTATGGTCCTGCGTAATTAGGGAACCTTTTATAAAACATTTGATTGAATTTTGGTTTCAATAAGTATTCTCTATTAGGGGTATAGTAACAAAATGTACATGTAACAAAATCTTAGTCCAAGCACTCGAAAATGAACTTTGCTTAACATTCTTATTAAATACATAGAAATTATCTTAACTTGGCTCGAAATTCGTAGGATATTATGTTTTTACAACAGTTTAACTATAGGTATAGCATGTTTTTGCACGAAAACAAATCAGATTGAAAATTGATTTCATTAATAATATTATTGACATCTTTTTTTATTTTATTTTCTTTAATAAACAGTTTTTTAGTAAGTGTTCTGTTGCAATTGACCGTAGTATTCAGTACGCATTATCTTGTTGTGTTCCATGTAATATAAATACTTCTATTTTCATATATTGGAATTTGAATTCATTTGTTGTGCCATTGTGCCCGGGCCCTGTGAAAGAAATTTCTTGAGTTAGGAGGGAGTGTAGAGGAGACCGACTACCGAGACATAGCGAATCAGCCCTCCAACATCCACTTCCAGAATGTTGGTACTATTTCCTGTCAAAGTTTGTTCCTGTAATTTAGGCCGAAAATATGTCTAGCACAGGCCCAAATCGCATAAATTTCTGCTTGGAAGATGGTGGTCATGTGTCCCAGTCTTAGAGCTTTCTCTGTTCTTGGCCCATCGCACCAGTATGCTGCTCCTGTTAATTTCTGTGTCTTGAACCCGTGTGCCAGATGAGCCCCTTCGGTTTCAGGAAGCTTGGGAAGTTTTCTACCCAATCCTGCCTATTTGGGAAGTTTACTCTGAAGTTGGTTTTGCTGTTTGGTTTGGAGCTGCAATTACCACACAGAATCAGAACCTGCTCCAGATTCTTGTCCCTAAGTATGTCCACATGTCCATAAACCGCCTAACTCAAAAAGCCATTAAAATGCAGCCTCATGGCAGTTTTTTCCGCCTAGGCTTTAGCACATAGCGATGGGGGCTTAACATTTATTATAGCTCCCCTAGCCAGAGTGGGCGTAGTTTTCATAGCCCCTGTTATACCCAGCATTGCAAGTCTATAGACACTGTTTAATACTTTGATATTGGTTTGCCTGTTTGCTATGCACCAA